GAAGGACCACCACCGCATGTCCATCTTGATGATGATTGGGAGATGCCAGCTGAGCCAAGGCCAGGTCAGCCTGTACTGTAGCAGCTTGAGAGCGTTGAAGATTGACATCAGATATTTCTCCCACTTCCGTTGGTGTTCCGGTCTGGTCATCGCGCGAAGGTCCTGATCTCTGGGATTCCTGTCCACCACTCCTGCTGTCTTGGAGAACCTTTCAGGTTTGAGATTCAGCTGATGTAGTTCGCGGGACTCACCACTAGTCGGTCGCCACACTCGACAGAAAGCCTCCAGGGCCGTAGCCATGGCTTGACCTCCCCGTATTGCGGGTGTCCAATCTTTCGCTGCCTCACACGTTTCAATGTCCATGTTGCGCAACATTAAGACTGAAATCCCATTTGGTCCTGGGTATTCGATCATTGTTGCTGTGTAATGCATATGCGACTCACCAAATGGTTGCCCTGACCTCGTATGGCGAGGAGAGTTTATCATAGCTGTCGAGTCACCAGATGGCGCTGGCGTGGAGGAGTCAACTTGTGAGGATGGTGAGGGCACAGTGCAGTGCCTTTGTTCATCAGGAACAGGAGAAGGGTGTCACTTTGATCAGGCTGCGGGGGTTGGGCTCGAAGTCTTTCCTGTTTTGCCTCCATTCCTCCCATGTATGGTGGAGGGACATCTTCATTCCACAGCTACTTGACGGTTTGCTGGTTTCTTGGGAACTGGGATGATGGTAGACTGAAACAGGATGGCACCTCACACAGCTCCAGGGATCTGTTGAAGATTTGTGTGAAGACCGGCGCCAGCTGGTCAGCACTTTCAGGCAGGAGGGGGACACTTTGTCGGGCCGTGCAGCTTTCTTGATCTTCTGCTGCTTGAAGAGCCGTCTCACATCCTGTTCATGGATCTGTAGGGCAGAGAATGAGGGTGGGGGTGTGGATAGAGTAGTTTCTGGTAGAGGTGGGGATATGTGGGAAATGGGGGTGTCCTTTTCAAATCGGCAAAAAAACGTGTTTAGTTCATCAGCCAGACCCTTATTGTTCACTGCTTGGGGGTATGGTGTCCGATAGATTGTGATTGCTTTCAGGCCATTCCACACAGATGCTGAGTCGTTAGCAGAGAACTGTTTTTCCAGCCTCTCTGCATAGCTTCTCTTTGCGATGTTAATTTCCTTTGTCAATTGGTTTCGGGTGTGTTTGTTCAGTGCCCGATCTCCACTTCTAAATGCGGCCTCTTTGTCTTTTCTCAGTTGCCTGAATTTGGGAGTGAACCATGGCTTGTTATTGTTGAAGGAGCGGAAGGACTTCGTTGGTGCACACATGTCCTCACAGAAACTGATGTATGATATTACAGTGTCTGTGTATTCATCCAGTTTGCCCGTTGAAGTTTCAAAGACGCCCCAATCAGTGCAGTCTAAGCATTCTTGTTGAGCTAGCTTTGCTTCATCAGTCCATTTCTTCACAGGTTTTACACATTTGAGTTTCTGTCTATATGTAAGAATTAACCCTATAATGCCATTTGTATCATATTTGATACATGCATTTTCATTATGTAACTCATTCTTTATATGACATTAAATCATCTGTATCAAATTTGATACTGTATGTTTAAAATATAATTTTTCCCAAATTATCATTTTCAGATGTAATCTACAGAATGCTTGTAAATGTGATCCGACAAATATCTAAAACAACATGATATGGCAAAAATATTTTTGTGGATTTTGTTATAAGGGTTAAAAACGACCAAAATGAGGAGGGGGTGACTCTGAATATTTTTACTTGAGTTTGTTTACTTGTTCAGCTCGCGTTTGTATCGCTGTGTTAGCGTTAGCTTGTGGCGCAATGTAAACACCGCTGAGTACGAAGGAGGAGAACTCACGTGGCGAGTAGAATTGCTTGCAGTTTAGAGACGGCGACACCAAGTCCAGGCTGCAGCGCGCGTCGAGCTTCGTGACATCAGTGCACCATTCTTCGTTGATATAGAAGCATATTCCACCACCTTTTGATTTCCCCGGTAGCTCCGTGTTGCAATCGGCTCGGATTAAGCGGAAGCCGGGGCGATGTAGCGCGGAATCCGGGTGGCGGTCACTGAGCCAGGTTTCAGTGAAGCAGAGTGCAGCAGAACGTGCACAGGTTTTGTTGGTCTTTGTGAGAAGAAGTTCATCCATCTTGTTTGGCAGAGACCGTAGATTAACAAGATGGATCGATGGGAGCGGGGTTCGAAATCCACACTGACTTAGCCTGGCTAGCACGCCAGCTCGCTTCCCCCTTCTGCGACGGCGTTTCCATGCTCTGTACACCGCAGCCTCTCCGCTCGCTATTAACGCCGAAAAATCTCCTGGGTTTTCATGTGGTGGCGAAAAAAGTCCGAGCGTAGACTCCTTAACGCTAAGCAACTCTTCCCTCATGCAAGTAAGCCGGTTAGAGTCGCCAAAAACGAACGAACATAACAAAACAGGGATAATACTAGGGCGTGCGTAACCGAGGCTGCCATGTGTCGGCGCCATCGTCTTTCTATCATTTTCCCACTTTCAGTCTTCTCGAGACCAAAAATGAGATCAAATAATATGAAAATAATACACAAGATGACATTTAAGGTCAAAGCAAAATAAACCCTACTCATCTATAACAATCGGAGTAACAATAAACGCTCCACGAACCCCAAGGTCGTAACTTTACTCAATGAGAACAATCGGAGTAACAATAAATGCTACACGATCCTCAAGGTCGTAACTCTACTCAATGATAACAATTGAAGTTACAATAAAGGCTCCACAACCCTCAAGGTCGGGATTTTACTCAACAATAACAGTCGAAGTAACACTAAACGCTGCATGATCCTCAAGGTCGGAACTCTACTCAATGATAACAATTGGAGTAACAATAAACGCTACACGATCCTCAAGGTCATAACTCTACTCAATAACAATTGGAGTAACAATAAACGCTCCACAACCCTCAAATGTCGGAATTCTACTCAATGATAAGAATCAAAGTACCATATTTTCACGACCATTCGGCGCACCGTATTGTTGGGCGCAGTCTCAGTAACGGGTATTTCTGTATTTGACACATACACAAAACGCACTGTATTATTGGGCGTAGCCAGGCATGGTAAAACATACGCCAGCTTAAAACATACGGCATGCATGCACGCATGCTAAAAACACGTTAGCTTGAAGCATACGGTAGCATGCACGCACGCTGAAACATACCAGGTATGTTAGCTTAAAGCATACCATAGCAGCTAAGACATACGGACACACGCTAAAAACACGTTTTTAAAAAGGCAACAGAAGCAAAACTGAGTTCGGTTGTACTTTATTTATTTATTTAGCCATTTTACAATGTACTCACCCGCCTGGTACCTGCTAGGGGCGTGCCTTTAGCGTCCTCTTACACGCCTACCCTTCACTCATTGGCGACTGGTACCTGCTAGGGGCGTGCCTTTAGCCTCCTCTTACACGCCCACCCTTCACTCATTGGCGGACTTCCGCATGCCTGTCGTCACTCACGTCCGCCTTTTCTCTTTATAAACAGCGTGTCGGCCAGAAGTGCTCTGTCAGGTTTTGGAACTCGGCGCATACACTAGACGCTCCGCATTACAGGGCATCCTGTCCATTTTGGAGAAAATTTAAGACTTTTAATGGCGCCTTATAGTTGTGAAAATACGGTAACAATAAACGCTCCACGACCCTCAAGGTCGGAACTCTACTCAACGATAACAATCGGCGTAACATCGCTCAATGGAGCAAACAACGAAAATAAACACTATTCAACGATAACAATCGGAGCAGGCAATCATTCCAGTGTTCACACACAAAAAAAAATTAAATAATCTCATCTAGCGGCCCGGTGGTCACAGTGCAGAGGTACCAGGTTCAATTCCAGCTGCGGCCTTCCTGTGTGGGCTTTGCATGTTCTCCCCGGGTACTCCGGTTTCTTCCCACATTCCAAAAACATGCATGGCAGGCTTATTGTCCCGTCACTCTAAATTGTCCCAAGATGTGAGTGTGGGCGCCAGATGGTTGTTCGTCTCTGTGTGCCCTGCGATTGGCTGGCATAAGGTTCAGGGTGCCCCCCGCCGACTGCCCAAAGACAGCTGGGATAGGCTCCAGCATCCCTCACGACCCTTGTGTGGATAAGCGGAAAATGGATGGGTGGATGGATAAATCTCATCTTCAAATTCATAAAATATTCACATCATTACTTACATGTGTCAAAGGATGGTTTGAGTTCGTTGAGACCTCGGAGGGAAGCTTTCAGAGAGTCGGACGGGAAAAAAGGTCGCGCAGTCCAATTCTCGTCCGTCTCCCCCTCAAGCAACCACTCAGGTGCCATCTGGAGTGCCAGATTGTCTTGTCCAGAGAAACCAAGACAACAAGTATTATTAAAAATTATGAGATTTATTTGAGAAAGAAAAAAAAAACATGGAGACACCAATCACAGATATGTCAAGGGAGCCTTCTCACCCCCCCCTCCTCACCCCCCCTACATCCTGCCTTCTTTTTATCACGTTTTCTTCTCTTTGGGAGGGGTTAAGTTCAGCACAATCTGAATTTTGAGCAACTACACAGAATGCAGTCCTGTGCATGAGCAGGCAGCTTATCTGCAAAATAACTGTTCAGCATTCAATGGTACGGACAGTTCCTTACATTTTAGCACTGTTAGATGTCAGATTCCCATTACAAACCCTTCACACTCCACAATGCTGTGGGCTGGCAGTCCAGGGTGTAGAATTTGTGTTCTGGACTTGTCCACCACTCAGAAATGTGCAATGTCACTCTCTGTATAAGTCTTTTCACAAATAACTAAGGATAAAAAAATTGAATAAAACACCACCATTGATTAAAATAATCAAAGCAAGAAAAAAAATCCACCACTAATGTGTGATGCTGGTAATGTCACATATTGAGTTGTAATCTGAACTCATCTAGCTCTCCGAGTAACCTTCATTGTAATTATAAACCATAATTCCACGTGTGTTTGTCTTCTCATGTCTTGCAGACATCAGCAAAGATGTTTGTCCCGAGCAACTGGATGCAGAGCCCCCTCATATTAAAGAGGAAGAGGAGAACAATGAGGTCTCCCACTTTAAAGAAGAAGACAAGCAGGCCCTTTACATTAAAAAAGAGGAGGAGCTAGAGCACCCTTGCATGAAAAATGGTGACATCACATCATCAAACGTTGATGATGATGAGGAGGAGGATGAAGAGTTTGATGGTGATCTGACATGTCGCACTGACAACAAACCCTGGAAATGTTCTCAATGTAGCAAAACGTTTGCTTATCAGAGTCAATTGAAAATACACATGAGAACTCACACTGGTGAGAAACCGTTCACCTGTTTAGTCTGTGGCCGGAAATTCTCTGTTAAGGGAAGCTTAATTCACCACATAAGAACACACACTGGTGCGAAACCTTTTGCCTGTTCAGATTGTGGCCAAAGATTCTCTTGGAAGGCAGACTTAAAAGTACACTCAAGAATCCACACTGGTGAGAAACCTTTTGCCTGTTCATATTGTGGCCAAAGATTCACTCGGAATGGAACCTTAAAAAGTCACATAAGAACCCACACTGGTGAGAAACCTTTTGCCTGTTCAGATTGTGGCCAAAGATTCTCTCAGAAGGCACTCTTAAAAATACATGTTAGAAACCACACTGGTGAGAAACCTTTTGCCTGCACAGTTTGTGGACACAGATTCTCTCAAAACGGAGACTTAAGAGTACACTCAAGAACCCACACTGGTGAGAAACCATTTTCCTGTTCTGATTGTGGCCGAAGATTCTCTCAGAAGAGACATTTAATTAACCACACAAGAACCCACACTGTTGATAAACCTTTTGCCTGTTCAGATTGTTGCCAAAGATTCTATCAGGAGGGAAGCTTAATAAATCACAAAAGAATCCACACTGGTGAGAAACCCTTTTCTTGCTCAGTTTGTGGCCAACAATGCTCACAAAGGGGAACCTTAACAGGTCACACAAGAACCCACGCTGCAGAGAAACCTTTTGTCTGTTCTCTTTGTAGCCAAAGATTCTCTTGGAAGGGAGACTTAAAAAAGTATGGAAGAACTCAGACTGGTGAGAAACCTTTTTCCTGTTCAGGTTGTGGCCAAAGATTCTCGTGGATGTCTCAGATGAAGAATCACAAGTGCATTGATGAGATGAACAGTTATCGATGAAGTTTTCACCTCACATCTGAGCAACTGTCATGATTTCATGCACCAAGGCTGATTGAATTTTATGTGCATTTATTTTTTCTTGACTGCATTGAAACGTTTTTTTCTTGTTGAAATGAATTCGTAAATCTATCATTGTTGTCGGCATTCTAATAGTTTTAGATTCACTGCACTAGTATGTTTTTATTTGGCTTTGAGTTGCGGTTTTTCTTCTTTTTCTTCACCTTCTTTTCCATTCAGCTCTTCCCTTCAGGGGTCGCCACAGCAAATCAGTTGCCTCCATCTAACCCTGTTTTGTGCATCCTCTTTTCTCACACTAGCTTCCTTCATGTCCTCTTAAACTACATCCCTAAACCTCCTCCATGGTCTTCCTCTCATCCTCCTGCCTGGCAGTTCAAGACTCAGCATCCTTCTCCCAATATATTCACTCTCTCCTCTGAACATGTCCAAACCATCGCAGTCCGGCCTCTGACTTTCTCTCCAAAACCCCGAACATGAGTTGTCCCCCATTCATGATCCAATCCAACCTGGTCACTCCCAAAGAGTACCTCAACATCTTCATCTCTGCTACATCCAGCTCTTCCTGATGTCTTTTATTCAGTGGCACTGTCTCCAGTCCAAACAGCATAGCTGGTCTCACCACAGTTTGATACACCCTTCCTTTCATCTTAGCTGAAACTCTTCTATCGCACATCACACCTGACACTTTTCTCCAGCCGTTCCAGCCTGCCTGTACATGCTTCTTCACCTCTTTTCCACAGTCTCCATTGCTCTGGACAGTTGACCCCAAATATTTAAAATCCTCCACCTTCTTATCTCTTCTCCTTGTAAAGCTGCATTTTTGTTGTTGTTTGTTTTAATTAGATTTCAAAGGAGGTTTGGTCATTTGTATTAGTTCTTGTTTTCATTTCTCAAAATTGAACTGTTCTTCTCTGCATAGCACTCCACATATCGAGTTGTGTTTTTTCATCTTGTTGGATATAAAATGGGCATTTTCCATTTTGTCATGAATGTGATGGAGCCATATGTATTGTCGTTTGATGCTGTGTGTTGCTTGTTGGCCAATAAACTTCTCTTTGCTCAAAAAGCTTGGATCAGCCGAGTCTTCTTCAACATCACCCATCTCAATATCGGTGAGACTATCTACCCCGGTCAAGGACGAACTGATGTCCAAAAACGTTTTATTCGTGGAACACCGAGAAAACCTAAAGACATTTCAACATCAATAATCTGTTTAACAAGACATTAAATAAATAACCAGAAATAACATACCGTGTGCACCTTGTTCAACCGAAAGTAGATAAACTAAAATAAAGTCGACCAGACGGTGTCATTTCGGCTCTCTCTCTCACCATATTTCTTTCTTGATCTCTCTCTAATTCCCTCACTATCCGCCACACGTGAACCTGACCCGGAATGGTCCTCGGGAAAACATTCCAAATCCATACAAACATATGTATTTACATATATAATTACAACATACATACAAAGATTTCGAGAAAAACATAAATATAAGATAAGAAATCCATTATGAGTCTCGCAACGGAGAAATTCCCAATTCACAGCAGCAAAGTTATGAAAGGAAGAAGTAGAAGAACAAAATATATGAGCTGCTGGAAAGGCAGCCACTCTCGCAGCGCCATCTTAGACTGATATATAATATAAAGGTTCACATAAAAACATAAAACACTTTTTTAAAACAAAAAGCCTAAATAAATTATATTTTTGTTATCATGGCAACCAATTGACTCAATACTGGCGCCAGCTACACTGCCACCAAATTACTGTTGGGTTAACATTTGTAAATGTAGAATTACTTTACTCACTTCCCGAAAAATCAACGGTAATTTTAACATTGCTCTGCTGTGTCCTTAATAAACTAGACAAATTTGATGTCATCCAAACAATGAAATTAACAATTTTACAAAATTGCCTATTCTAGATGGAATATTTGACACCTTAACATAGAAATATGTCTTATAAGTATCCGATTCTTTCTTTTTGTTACTTTGAACTAGAACCACTAATTTCTGTATGGATCTTTGAACAACGAAAGGCTTATTGAGGCGTTCTCCCTTTCTTCCTAAATTTCGTCCTCCTACAGTTACTTTCACAGTTACTTTTCGCACTTCTCTGTCTTCATCTTGACATTTGTAACAGAGGGTCTTGAATTTCATATTTGTTTGTAGCTTCAGTTTATTTTGTTTTGTTTCGTTTTCCAAACTCTTGTGTAATTCTAACCTCTGGATCGCCCACCAGTGGCTCAGGCGTCACCTCGATTGTGGCTTTTTCTCTCTCCCATAAAGACGTTGGACCGGCGAGCCAATTTAAATCGATGAGATTCGCTACGTTCAGGCCTCTGGGGACATGGTCTGCAGGGTTGTCTCCTGTGTCAATGTAGTGCCACTGATTTGCATCACTATCTTCTCGAATTCTCTGGGCCCGATTTGCGACGAAAACCCGGAATCGCTTGGCTTCATTTTTAATACAACCTAGAACCACTCGAGAGTCTGCCCAAAGGTATCCGTCATCTATTTTAACCTCTGGCTCCTCCCTAAACAACTTGTTCATGGAGGCTGAAGTTACTGTGGCAAATAGCTCCAGTCTTGGTATGGTGAGTATTTTGGTTGGAACCACTCTCGCTTTGCTAATCCTGTCTGGTATAAAACATCTTGGAAATCTCAATTTTATCTAAGTTCTCCAAATCCTTAGCTTCAAGTCCATAGGTAGTGGATTGTCCCATCCTATACCACTCTGACACATCTCTTGTAGTATCCCCTTTCCTTCAAAGATGAATGGGGCTAGAAAACCAAGAGGGTCGTATGAAGAAGCTACAACGGAAAGAGTCTCTCTTTGAGTCGTGGGTCTTTTTTCCTTAAAGGAGAAACCGTCACTTTTGATCTTCCAACTTATTCCAAGCACTTTTTGCACCGTTAGGTCATCAGGCCTGAAAACAACATTCTTTGCGTCCATAGCACATTCTGCTACATCGATTGAATCTCGCATTTCTTGATTATTGGAAAGGAATTTGAGGAGGTGCAGGTCTCCTCTTGCAGACAGAGGTTGGGCTTCTTTCACAAGCTCTTTCGCCTCCTCAACTGACTCTACACTTATGAGTCCATCATCAACATAGAATTTTTTCCTAATGAAACTAGCTGCATTGGGGAACTATTTCTCATCATGGCTGGAAAGGCATTCCATGGTATAGTTGGCTGAGAACCTGAGATTTATGGACTTATAGAAACCAAATAATTTGAGTCGCAGCCCCTAATACTATTCAATCAATGCTGTTCAATACTGTTAAATTTGCAAACAGAGCAAAAAAAAAAAAAACAATGGCACTTATCAAACATTGATGAGATGCAACGCAGATTCCATGGTGAAGGGCCCCAGGCTGCCAGATCAGAGGAGAAGGTCATATCAGAGATTGGAAGGCAAGCCCCAATGAATGCAGATGATGAGATTGGGAGGCCAGCCCCAATGAATGAAATGCCGAGCGAGGCAGCAACAGACCTGAAAGCAAAGATCATGGCGAGAATGAAAGCTGGGCAACCTAGAAACCGATTACAACGGCTATGTGAAGTACCACCTGAAAGTCTCATGGAAAGTGTGAATGCAGCACTGAGGGCGATCCCGACCGTAACGATCACGGAAACCAATGAGCTAATATACGCTTCAGCATCAGTGATCCTAGAGATGCTTGGCTATAAGAGCAACCATGGGAGCCATGAGATACGTTACCCACCATGGAAAAGACAGTTGGAGGCTAAGATCAAGGCAGCTCGGAAAGATGTGAGTCAGTTGACGGAGGCCCAGACAGGTGTGATGAAAAGGCCAATACCCGAGAGGTACATCCAGATGACCATACCCGAAGCACTCAAAACTGCCAAACAAAGGCTCCAAGCCTTGTCCAGTCGCTTAAAGAGGTACACGAAAGAGAATGAGGCCAGACGAATAAACAGGCTGTTCGCAACACAACCTGCGAAAGCGTACGCTCAGTGGCAGGGTTCAAACAGCAGAGCAGACCCACCAAGACTGGAAACTGAAAGGTACTGGAAAGTAGTGATGGGACGATGATACCTCAAGGAGTGTATTGACCCACTTCACAAACTGTGTCAGCACTGTATTGACACTGTGTTAGTCACCCAATAATGACCCCTGCAGTAGTTATAAAATCATTGCAGGTAAAGAAATTCCTTGTTTGTGTAAATGCTAAACTGAGTTGGTATGTAAAATATAGCAAATTTGAGTTACAATTCAGAGTTACCATTTTTAACTTATGTAGAAAAATTTTGTTAAATCATGTGAAATAAAAGACAAAAAAGTGATTAGTTTATGAATTTTTATTGAGGAACAAAAGTCTTTGGAGTGTCTGCTTTAAACAACAAAGCATATGAGGGAAAAGTGGTTAGGATTGCACGACTGTCCGTGTTTTATGTTATGTGTTGTGTTTATTATTTTACTTTATTGTATTGTATTGTATTGTATTGTATTGTATTGTATTGTATTGTATTGTATTGTATTGTATTGTATTGTATTGTATTGTATTGTATTGTATTGTATTGTATTGTATTGTATTGTATTGTATTGTATTTGCTCCAAGGCGATTTCTCCTCTTAGACACCAGCTCCCCACCCTCAGAAAATACTCTTTCACATGGTTCAGATGGCGATGGTGAGCAGAGAGTTTTTCATGAAAGTTGATGCAGATGTGGATATGTTTTCTGGTTCCATTTCCAACATTGTAAAGGGTCTTGGTTTCTGGGTGTGTTTGCTTCTGACAGGCAGCGTTGGAGTTCAATTATGGAGGATCTCGCAATTATAAGATAAAATGAATGAAGCAACTGTAAGGCTCTTTAACTGACGATCATATGTATTACAGGTCATTCACTTGATAAACTGATAAAGTGGGTGCAATGCGCCACCGTAAAAAAAAATTGTGGATAACAGTAAACAATGCTCAAAGGAGAAAAAGATTTACCTAGATTCAAATTATTTCACACT